TTCCAGATGTTTTGGTGATGAGGGCCGACGCCGTGTGGACGAGCTGCAGAGTTTATATGTCATGTCCCGCCTCCTGCTGCTCTACAGGCTCCACCCCTCGCCTAAATGTCCCCCACATGTTCCTGTTGTTGCGAACGAGTCGACAATCTGCTGCTTCACACACACTGACTACACAACATGACTACACAACATGTTACACAGTTCATATCATGGCTGACCCCTCCCTCCCTCTGGCAGGAGGCTGCGGGCCGTCAGGACCTCACGCCACAAATACAGTTTTTCCCGACTTCTGCTGGGATCATATCACTGGACACACGTCTCTGCCTGTGACACTTTAACTCCATGTGGCAAATAACTGTACTTTGCACAATCTAGTCTCTAGTGTATACTTCCAATGTTTTTCCTCCCCTGGTGCTTTTTCGTATTTTTTATATCTAATTTTGGTTCCTGTTTTTATATTTTTATTTTTATTCTTATTCCTAGTATGTGTCATGCTTGGCAGTGAAACCCGATTCTTGACAGAGTTGCTGGTCTGGAGCTGCAGACACAATGATTCCCTCATGTGGTTTCATGTTCTTCCTCTCTCATTAAGGAAACTTCCCCATGATCAGCGATGACCTGGTGAACTCGTACCACCTGCTGCTGTGTGCTCTGGACCTCGTCTTCACCAGTGCACTGCTGTGCAACGCCAGGAAAGATCTGCTCAACCCAAACTTCAGAGGTACTGCTCTCTGCTCCGCTGCATCCCTGAACTCTGCAGAAGATTAAAAAGGTCTCACCTGGTTTTAATATGTGGTTTTTTCATCACATAAAGATCCATACTTTGATTAAATTGGTCAAATCTGCATTCGGACTGCTGACTCGTCTCCACCTCTCTCTTGCTACATGTTACGTACATGTTAATTTGCATGTAGAGCTTGAGGAAGTGAGATCTGATCACAGGAGAGACATGTTAATACCAGGTGTGTACACATGTACTTCATGCTGCACATTCGTGATGGGATCTCTCGGGACAGATGTTAATAGCAGGTGTGTACGGGGCCATAGGTATATATATCATCTCACTGCTGATTGTCTTACTTCCTGCTCTACAATTTCACAATTTAAAGTCAAGTTCAATTTATATGAAATTCGATCTCTGTCCCTGGAATCAGACGAAAGCTGCTTTCAGACCTCCACTGATCTGCGTAGTGTCTCTGGATGACATGTTTGAACACATTGAGCGAGAGCCTCCAGAGTCTCGGTGGTATTTCTCAAGCTGGCCTCCGAGTATAAAGTCTGCAGAGGTGGATGTGAGACACAGCAGGAGATCCCCTGTTGGTTCCACTTTGATGTAAAGGTGGTGACACACACGTAGAAGACACAGACAGAAAGATCTGATGACGGTCTGATGTAAACATGATAACATGATCTCTGCAGCAGAATTAATACGTTACAACCTCCCTCTGTCTGCTGCACCTCACCTGAATCCTGCGGAGATTTCTGTGTTTATGTTGAAGAGTCTGAGCGGAGAATCTCCTGATGTGTGAAAGGAAAACTGCAGAGATCCTCCGCAGGACATTTCTGAATACGGCTGAATTTTAAGGTCTTGACCTTCTATTAAAGAGTATATATATATATATATATATATATATATATATATATATATATATGTGTATATTATGATTTGGTGCTAAACAAATGAAATGTAATTAAACCAAATTAAACCTCCCAAAAACTAAAGGAACTCAATTCAGTGTTATTTGTATCAGGTCAAATCACAAGATATACTATTTGAATGTATGGAGCTTGTGGTCAGACTCAGCTGTAGCTGCTCATAAAAACACAGCAGTAGTTTGAGGTCAGAATGTTTGTCACCCCCCCACCAGGTCTACCAGAGGACTTCAGCTGTAAAGACTACAGGCCGTCGTCAGGTCCGTTCTGCTTCATAGAGCAGCTGTGTGAACTGCATGATGGCCTGGTGCTCGAGGCCAAAGGAGTCAAAGAACACTTCTGGAAACCTTTCATCAAGAAGCTGTTCCACAAACGGGTACGACACGTGTTTGTCTTTAGCAAAGGTTCATCATTCAGTCATCCATCACTGAAAGAACGTGTTTACTCTCACTGTCAAGCTGACCTGTTGTTGCTCAGTGGCACAAATGATGCAGGATAAAGTTAAACTTAATGTAAAATGTCAGTTTTTCCTAATGAGCATAAGTAAACGCCCCACCAGTGCCCATAAAAGGGCATGAGACTGTAGTGCCGTGTGCACAGACACACTGAGCCCGCACCGGACTCACAGACACACACACTCACACTGTGCAAAACCACAGGACGATGGGCAACAGGTAAAAAAACCTTCCCATGTTGGACCTCTCGTTAAGGATAAACACAAAATGTTGCTGTATGGTGACAGGTACACAACCGAATCTGGAAACAGAAATGTACACGGAAACTGCACTGGTTAGCAGTTTGGTTTAGTTTGGTCCATGTCCCATCTGTTAACATAGAGGAGGCGAGTTTATGACCTATACTGCAGCCAGCCACCAGGGGGCGATCCAGAGGATTTGTCTTCACAGCCGTCATGTCCTCCATGTTTATCTGTTTATCAGTGTGTGGTTCAGAACCAACTCAGGTCTGATGATCTCCACAGATTCTCAGAGGTAAAGACGACTCTCTCACTGGTTTTCTGGACCCCATGAACTTCGGGGACAGTTTGTAAGTGTCACACTCACACAGTGTTTTCATTCGTTTATATTATAGTGATGTTACATGTTGGACATATTTTCCTTTAGTTGAACAACAGCACGTTTTCTACCAGAAGAGAAACTTTATCTTTACAAAGTCTAAAAGAGAAACACACTCATTCAAACATTCAGAAAAAGCATGAAAACATGATGTCTTCCCTCCTGTGTCCCCTCCTACCTCCTCCCTCCTGTCCTGTCCCCTCCCCTCCTGTGTCCCCTCCCGTCTTCTACTCTCCTGTGTCCCCTCCTGTCTCCCCCCTCAGCTTGTCTCTCAGCCGGGTATATGATGAACATGTTTTGGCGTCAGGGAGTCTGGATGAGAGGATCTTCACTGGCGATGGGGCGAGTGAAGACATTGGGACCCCAGGGCCCTGCCTCTGTGGGGGGGTGGAAAACCAGGACAGCGCCACCTACAGGCTGCACACCAACCTCACTGTGAGACAACAGACTGAAGTGTCTTAAGTTACTGATTTTGACTCTGTGTGATTTTACTTCCTGTGAATTTTTCATCAGGTTTCCACCCCTCTGACAGGGAGGAGGTACCTTCAGGAGGACAGCCTGGCGTCTCCGCTCACATCTGCCATGAAGAGTGTCGGACGCCTCCACACTCTTCTCTCAGGAACCAAACAGGGTCCGAGCCCCAAACTGGCAGAAACTCTCAGGTGTGTTTCACCTGTAACATGAAACCAGAGTCAATTATGTTTCTGAAGAGGAAACTTTATTGTATTTAAATACTGCATTACTTTACTTCTACAACTTTACCGGAGTATTGATATTTTACACTACTTAATATATTTAGTCCACTGAGTTTCACAGGGACATGCACTTTTACCATGATACAACATGAAGCCTACTTGAGTACTTTTATTGAAGTAATATTTCAGATGCAGGACCTTGAGAGCTGTCACTATTATTACTGTTCTTTGGTCTCATGTGTTACGATGACAGAAGCTGTGTCCCTTTTCCTTTGTCCCAGGACATGTGCCAGAGACCCCAGTGATGTCATCAGGAAGCGCCTGAAGGACATGTTTGACCTCTTCTGTCAACATGTGGAGAGCAGCGGGACGGAGAACCAGGGGATGGGTAAAGGTACATGAACAACTAATGATCAGTTCTGTGATGTCTGTGATCAGCCTGCTTCTCTCTAACGTCATATCACCACAGACCTGGCAGTGAAGTATTTCCACCTGTCGGAGGCGCTCTACTACAGGATCCTGGGGTCCATCATTGAAAGAGAAAAGATGATACTGGGAGACACTGACCTGTCTGTGAGTATTGTCTTTTCTCACCTTTCACAGCTGTGTCTCTTGAATATTTGTCTCCGCATTAATTTGGTGTTAGAGATATAAAAAGTGTGTTTGTGTGTTGAAGTGTATTCTGGAGCAGGACGTCTTCCACCGCTCGCTGCTCGCCTGCTGTTTGGAGATTGTCATCTTCTCCTACAGACCTCCAGGAGATTTCCCCAACGTCATCAATGTCTTCCAGATCCCAGCTTATCACTTCTACAAGGTATCAACATGTGTGTGTGTGTGTGTGTGTGTGTATTTATATGTGTGTATGTGTGTGTGTATTGTTACCACCTGGCTCAAGGCAACAAACAGGGAGAAAAGTTATTTATTTAGCTCCACTAACATGTATATTATACACGTATGTTCATGAACTGGTGGGATGTGTAAGTGAGAGACATCAGAGAGTCAGAAGTGTGTGGATGAGTGAGAACACAGTCTGATGTGTGTTGGTGCAGTAGGAGCAGGTGATGGTCCCAGCTCCTCCCACCAGCTAACTCCCAGTATCTGAAACCAGCCCAGAGTAAGACACAGTGGGAGGGTCGTCACAATATCCACGATGTTCATCAGTGAAGAATTTCAACTGGAATAATTTGTTAATCATGATCTGATGTGTGTGTGTGTGTGTGTGTGTGTCTGCAGGTGATTGAGGTTCTGGTGCGCTCGGAGCAGGGTCTCTTTCGGGAGGTGGTGAAGCACCTGAACCAGGTGGAGGAGCAGGTTCTGGAGAGTCTGGTGTGGAGCAGCGACTCGCCGATGTGGGAGATTCTGAGTGGAGCCAAAGACCAGGTCCCGTCCTGTCAGCAGGTCTGTCCACACACACAGACACACAAACACACAACTCATTAGTCGAGACGTGTCAGTGTGGACGTGTCGTGTTTCAGGTGATGCCTCCTCAGTATCTGGAACCAAACGATGACATCAGCTCGGGCAGCGCTCCCATCAGCCACCTCAGTCACGGCCCTGACCTCAGCAGTAGCGTCCCAGGTTTGTGTTTCTATCACTTCCTCTCACACAGACCCGACAGTCTCCTGCTGCGTTCTTCAAACATCAACAATAAATTGTAATAAAATAATCCGCCCCCACACACAGGTGTGTCCCCCTCCCCCACCACTCTATTGGATCGTTACAGCTCCTCCCCCACTGTCCCGGCTCGCCGCCGTCTGTTTGTGGACCCAGCGAACAGTAAGACAGGAGAACCCTCCGCCGGCGGCGCCACCAGCACATCACCGGCCAACGTCACCAAGACCGGACAGGCCGGCCTCGTCACAGCCATCCCAGCTGGGCAGATTGTGGTCACCATGGCAACCTCCACCACCATCCAGGGTGAGACTACGATTAACTGACAGTGACAAGATGAGTGACAAGAACAATCAACAACCACTGACTTCTGACCTCTGCAGTTACAGCCAATGAGAGCGGAGGAATCACCTTCATCCCGCTCCAGGTGAGCATGACCGGACAGGGCGGAGCCACGCTGCAGCAGCTGTCCGCCCGGACTCTGACTGGCACCTTCACCGTCCAATCAGCCGTCAGCAAACCAGCTGCCAAAGCAGCAGGCGTTCCTCTGAGGAAAGGGTCACTGTCGCTGTTCTTCAGGAAGGTACGAGACAATGCCACAGTTTCCAGGGGCGGGGTCAGCAGGTCCTACTCCGTGTCCTGACAGGTGTGTGTGTGCGTGTGTTTCCCGCTCACAGGTGTGTGTGTGTGTGTTTC